CAAGTACCAATAAATCCTTTTTATCTTTGTAGACCGTACGCTATAGTGTAAATATCTTTGTAGACCACACTGCTATAGTGTAAATATCTTTGTAGACCACACGCTATAGTGTAAATATCTTTGTAGACCACATTTTGAACCAACAAAGGATTTATTGGTACTTGTATAATGTACGTACGGGTTAAAGTGTGGAACACATTTTGAACCAAGAAAGGATTTTTTGGTACTTGTATAAGTACGTACGGGTTAAAATGTGGAACACATTTTGAACCAACAAAGGATTTATTGGTACTTGTATAATGTACGTACGGGTTAAAGTGTGGAACACATTTTGAACCAAGAAAGGATTTTTTGTTACTTGTATAATGTATGTACCGGTTAAAGTGTGGAACACATTTTGAATCAACCTATCGTCATCACCATTATAACTTTTGTTTATTTCCAGTTGGCGCCATTTATTATAAATAATGCTTTTAAACTAATAAAGTACAAAATACCATTACACAACGTATTGGGGGCAGCATCTTTAAACTAATAAAGTACAAAATACCATTACACAACGTTTTGGGGGCAGCATCTTTAAACTAATAAAGTACAAAATACCATTACACAACGTTTTGGGGGCAAATTTAATCGGAATGAAATAAATTCCAACAATCAAAAGTAGCACATTTATAACATAAATTTAAGGGACTCTTTTGGAACACACAACTTATTAAATTATTATTATTTGCTGAAGAAAAGCGTGGACAGATATCAATTATTTAGCAAGAAATTATGTTTTATTGAATCATTAAAACGGTGATTATGATAGTATCTATGTCGACCACACGCTATAGTAGCACCAACAACGTATAAAAAATGAAACAGTTAAATGTTGGAAATATATAACTAAACCACTAATACATAATTCGAACCTAGTTGTTATATACACTTCTTATACATTCCGTTTCACCACGACTTTATATCGGCTATGATTTATGCGTGAGTTTGTTGATTTGCATATTAAAATTAATCTTAATATAGCGTACTCAACCCTGTATTATTCTGTTAAAATGTACCATATCGTGGAGAATGAATTTTTTGCTTAACTCATAAAATACTAATTCGTTTAACAGTTCTATTTATTAGTTTTTTCTTGTGATTAAATTTAAGATTGCGAAGTATTTGTAAATTTATGCTTTACAAAGGGAAAAAGTGCAATAAAACATACTTACGTCGAGGCATCAATAAAATATATTATCAGAGACGCTATACTGAGAAAAAACACCAGCACCACCTACCAAGAGAAAAACAAACACAAATAAGAGATATAGTAATCTACTAATTATCAGAAAACACTTAATGGTGATTTATCTTCAGTAAACCAATTTGTTAAATAAATGTCATTAAGTTTAATAAATTTGATATTTGTTTAAGTAAAGGAGTATTCTATATAATCGAACTACATTACAAATAGAATACTTTGGAAAAACCTATACCTTAAACATTATCTATCCAACAATACAAATATAAAATTAATCTAAATTTATTATAGCATAATCCAACCCCAAATTAGTAGCTTAAAACAACTTGAAGTTAAAATGTTTTGCAACAAATTAAAAAAACCCTTTATTAACCTAATAATGTTTTGATAGAAATGTCCTCGTGTTAAAGACTAAAATATTTGCTTATACAATTTGTTCTCCTGAAGAAGAATAGTCAACTATTCGAAAACGCTCGAGTTTTGGGTCTTATTTTAAGTATATTACGTTTTATATGTGATCCTTTGTGCTAACTCTTTTATCGAAATTGCTTATACAATTTGTAGCAGTCAAAAGAAAATATACTTTACTTTGGTTTCAAATTTATCTAACATTTTTCACTTAAGAATAATTATTTAAACTTTAAACTTATTAGAAATGTTAAATTACAACAACTTAAAGCTTTGACGCATAAATGTGAAGCGATGCATGTAGTATTTTTGTTTCGATATATTAGTAACATTTTTGCGAAACTTATGAAATTTCTTATACCAGAAAAACAAAATATGTGTTAAAAGTCTTTTTGTATCAGTTAAAAAACCAGTGAAGTTCAAATTTTCGAATTTCTTTCTAATTTTAAGAACAAGCTATGAAAATGCTCATGAAATTTATAGTATGGGTAATTACTTGTTTTAACCCTTTCTGATAAGTGTCCCATCGATCTGTAAATTTTTTAAAACTTGTACCTTCAAATCGTTTAAAAGCTATTCATTTGGATAATGATTATCATTCGCGTTCCATTTGTACTTCTAAGTTGTCGTTGCGAAACGTATAAAAGTTTTAAGATTGTCTTTGTTTTCGACGTAATTGTTTAGGTGAAGAAGGATCACACGCACGCAATGCTGGTTCAAAAACAGATTTCACCCGTGGCTTAGATCTTAACAATCTGTATTATGACTAGGCTTACTTTTGCGCATATTATACTTTTCTATACAGCAATCGTATACAATGCATCAGTGATTCCCAACCTGTGGTCCCCGGACCCCTGGGGGTCCGCGAAGTTAATACCATCTCATTAAACAAATAAGTTTTTTAATTCTGCTGTTCTTTTAATTGCACACTCAGTTATATATGTCTTTTATTGGATAGTGAAAAATTGAAAAGCGAGTTAACTGGGTAGATGGAATCTTTCAAAAAACATGGGGTCCGTGGGGAAATAAATAATAATAATAAAAGGGGGTCCTTGGTGGTAAAAAGGTTGGGAACCGCTGCAATACATGTACGTTAAAGTAAAAACATAATCTACATATATGAAAGCGAAATCTGTTGTATGTTTGTCTGCCAACTTCTTACACACTATTTGACCAATCTCCACCAAACTTGGTATGATGACTCCTACGGTCCCCAGAAGTAGCAAGGAGTGGTAAAAATTCTATGGGCGTATAATAGTTAGATTAGATTTGAGGGTAGGTTGGTAGAGAGCGTGATGAGTAATAAAATCGAATTGGGTATACACGCGCCCAACGCTTGGTATTGCTGGCGCATAAAGATCATAATAAAGGGTTGAAATTCCCAATTACCTTTACTTAGTTGCCAAGGAGGCGACACATTGACGCAACATCACCAAATTTTGCCCAATTGGAACCCTCGGCTACAACTCTATATCGTTTGGTCGCAGCACATTTCAATTTTGAAAATACCCAAGTTAAAGCGTGCTTGTTCAGCTTAGCAGGCTAACAATGCTAAAACCAGTAAGATAGTCCAAAGAGAAAACCCAAAAATCTATATGTATAAAAACGAAATTGTATGTTTGTCTGTCCGCCAATCTTGGCATGGTAACTCTTACGGTCCCCATAGGAAAAATGAAGGGGTCAAAAATCCTACCAGGTTTCCCACAAAAAAAGGCACACATTTGATTTTGCCAAATAACTTGCAACATTTAACCTATTTCTGTATTTTTCTATAATATTGTAACACCGTCCGCTCCTTTTCTCTAAACAGTGGGGAATTCTACCGTAAAATAAATCTTCAAAGCTCATGAAACTTTATTGTAACAGAACAGTTTTTCTAGGTTAATTTTGCTAATGATCAAATACGTCTCTCTTTTTCAATGTGCGGCTGAATGTGCGGCTTACTTTACTGTGGTGTATTCAGGTTCGTGTTTAGAATATAATCATGATCAAGTATCACATTCATAGAAATTTCACCACTAAAGTGGCAGTGTATAGTGTACAAAAAAAGACTCTTGGTATAACACTATAATTCACAGATAGATATACCTTGAAAAACAAAAAAACAAGACTCGATACTTTATTGTGCAGTGTTTATCAGCAAGTATAACCTCAAGCGATCCTTAAAAGGTTTAAGTTAAATCTATTATTAAAACAAGGAACTATTTTGTGTTTAAACACAGAATGGGTAAGACAAACCACTCGAATGTTATCTACATGTATCAATGCTCTGGGTTTTAAAAAGACTGGTAGATTAAATAATTATTGGTATAGGTATTTCATTTATTATAAAGTTGTTATAAAGTTTGTTAAGTTTAAAGTGACTGTGGAATTTCTTTGTATTAAAAAGTTGTTTCGAGAAAGAATAAACTGGTTTAATCAAGAAAGGACTTG